ACTGTTTTCGAAATGTCTGCTGTTTCTGTTTATTCTAAATATCATCCTTCAGATTTGTCTCTTCATCTGTCAGTCAAATGTCACAGTGTGCCAAGTCTTACGGTTAAATATTTTCTCAGTGCATCTGATTAAATTGATCTTGTGTTTTCCGTCTTCACAGAAACTGCTGGATGAGTATTTAATTGAAAAATCCAAAACTTCCGATAGCCAAGTCTTCTATCTTAAGATGAAGGGGGACTACTTTAGATACCTCGCCGAAGTTGCCGGGGATGACAAAAAGAGTGAGTTCATGCCTTCCTGTCAAATTGTCTGTGTTGTTCCTGCTACTTTGCTTCTCATTTTATGTGCGGTTTTTAAGATGGGTAGTCATTTAGAGTGCATGTTAAAGGGTTGTGCCTTTTTAACCATCCAAATAGTAGTGTGTCCGAGCTGAGAGCTGGAAATGACGTAAAGTAAGACTTTTGGGCCATGTGACCACCGGTCCCCAATCTCACAGGACGGTAAACACGACTGGGTGGCAGCTGATTGGCCTGAACCTTCTAAACGGAAAAAAATTGAAGAGAAAAAAAACGTCCCTTTCTGCACTCCCTGTTCTCCTACTAGTGCTTTGCATTTCAGATCCAATTATGGAAATAAATATTATACAGACATTTTCCATAGGCATATCTTTTAATACTCATATTGGCTTTGAGGTGTTAAGATTGACTTGTTAACAGAGGAAGAACAAAAGCTGTTGTGCAACTTCATTCCAATATTCCACTAAAATGTCCTGAAACAACCTTTTGCAGTTTGATAAGACATCATTGTAATGTGAACAACAAAAGATGATTTAAAATTGGTTTAGCCCACAAAGCTTATGAAAAGACAAACTCCCTCAGAGGAACCCATCCTGTCTCTAGCTCTCTCCCTAATAGATTTTTTTTTTTTAACGACCTAAAAATACAGTTTCAATTTATATTTTAATATTTATTTATCTCTCAAAACATCAATTGACCCTTTGTGTTTATTCTGTCTGTTACCTTTTAGAGACCATTGCAGACTCACAGGAGGCGTACCTGAAGGCGTTTGAAACCAGTAAGATTGAAATGCAGCCCACACATCCCATCCGCTTGGGCCTGGCGCTGAACTTCTCCGTCTTCTACTACGAGATCCTGGGCTCTCCAAAGAAAGCCTGTGAATTGGCTAAAACGGTCTGTATGCTTCATCGGTCACTTTACCTCGTCGACAGGTGTACTATGTTGCATGTATCAACATTTTTCTTTTTGCTTACAGGCATTCGATGAAGCCATTGCTGATCTTGATAAGCTAAATGAGGAGTCCTACAAAGACAGCACTCTGATCATGCAGCTCCTCAGGGACAACCTGACAGTGAGTGTTCCCTTCTCTCATGGCACAAGAATGATCTTCACTATGTTTGCCTAATTGTCTTTCTTATAGTCTGTTTCCTTCAAACAAACTTCCAATGTGTTTTTGTTTTACTTGGGCAAGGACAAAAGCCTGATTTCATAGTAAGGGCGGAGACGTTATGAACCTTAACAATGATGGCCCGCACTTCAGGATTAACAAAAGGTTTTGGAAAATGTATTTCTTGTGTCAAGGATTATTTACACTTGGTGATGAGCACTCTGGTAGCTGCGTCTACAAAGACCTTACCATTTAAGGAACTATGGCTACACATCTAAAAATTAATAATGAACCGTGGCTCTTAAACTTTGACCTCCCTCGCCTTGTCAGAAAAAAACAACTGCTTATCATCAAGCTCTAAAACAAAAATGACTTAGCATTGCGATGGTCAAACAGAATGGGACAACAACCTTCCTAATCCAAATGTAAATCCTCCTTACAAATGAGCTGGGTGGCAAACAAGTGACGGCAACAAGCTACTATAAATACAAAAGTCGGTACCTCAGGAAAAAACAAGTTGGCAGGACAGCCTATTGGATACTGGATCACTTACACTTTGATGATCGGAAAACTTTCCTCATTTTCTGCACAGTTAAGCTCTGGTTAAGGTGTTCTTTTGCTTATTAACAGTTCATCTTAAACAGTTATGAAAATGAATTCCCAACAGTCCACCCAATCAGCAGTCATGCTATTTGCAGTGTCCTTAGTTAACCAACAGGTTAGCTAGTTAGTTTAAGCAGTTTTTCCCCCCCGCTTGGCAGCAGGGGTAACTTCTCATAAAGTAAGCAATAACCAAGCCCACAATGAGTTAGGATACTATTGGTCATTTTACTCTAAATTATACTTAAATGGGTGTGAATCCTGATTCATGGTCTTGCCAGAAAATGAAACTTGTATCCTAATACAACTACTAAGATTGTTAAATTGCCTGTTTGAGTAAAGTTGTGTGTTCAATGTGTGTTCCTCTCTTCAGTTATGGACATCAGATGCTGCTAGCCAGGACGAGTGCGAGGCTGAGGGACAACAAGAGGCTGAAAATGAAAACTAAAAACCACCAACCCTCGATGTTGGGGTCATCTCTAAAAACAACAAAAGGAAGAAAAAAAAAAACTTTTTACACATCCTTCATTCCTTATTGCTCCACTCAAACATTCTACCAATGAAACTGATTGCTGAAAAGAGTCATGTAAGGAAATAATAATGAATAAATAATTCTTTTCATAATGTAGATTTTGGCAACTGGTGAAAAGAGAAACCCTCCATTCCTTTGGTTTATGTTTGTCATGGCCTTCCCCATTTGTGCAGTTTCAGCCGTAGAAAAGTGATCCATAGCTTGACATGGTATCAAACCCTTAGCTCATTTTAGCGGCAGGAAAAACTAAAGTCCCATCATTAAACAACTGGATGCTTTATCAAATCATTTGAGACCGTTTGGAATTGTTCCCAATAATTAATGTTCAATATAAAAACTAGTTTCTCCCATACCCTTTTTAAAGTGTGTCTGTCTCTACACAATTATGTGGTACGGTTACAGCAGCTGACCCTTAAACTGATTACATTTGAATATTGCAGGGAAAGCTAGTGCACTTTACATGCTGGCAACAAATAGTATAAAACAGAAAAGTAGTGCTAATTGGTTAGATCCTCACTTTCTGCCCTGGTTATGATGCCACTCTTTCACTGAAGCATGCCTGTTGTTTTTTTTGGGGGAGGGAATCGCGTGGCTTGTCTGAACAAATGCTGGGACCTTTTTAATGGGAAGAAGACAATTCTGTAATGCATGTCTCTGGAGATATTACACTGGAATGGGAACAAATGCTGTAACACACATGTCAAAGTCTCAAGTTAAGTCATTTTAAATCCCCCTTTAAGTGGGTGATATAAGTCTGTCCAGTGATTGTCATTAGAGATTTGGGCCACTATTGTTTTACTATTCATTCAATTGTAGTCCCCTAAAGCCTTGTGGAACTGTTCCAATCCCTATGTATCAGCTATGTTAACATAAATAAAACATTTTATAAACCAAGTCTGAGTTGGTATGTTTATTTTATTTGCTTGATAATGTACTTCATGTTGTCAATTCTCTATCTATTATTGCTACTTACTTAACAGCTTGATCACCTTTAAGAATGAGAATGTTTCTTTCTTTGGATTTAACATCATTATTGCCCCAGAATGAAACTTATTTTAACAACATATGCAACTACATTTGAAATGCTAGGTAGAAAATGGATAATTTGCATATATAGTCAATTAACTCCAGTGCATTTAATGTATACTAAGCAAAGCAGCCCCACCTTATCAGCTGCAACATCAAAGTGATTATCACAACAATGCAAACATAATAATCTAATGATATAATATGTGCATTGTTCTGAAATGATCCATTCTGCATATTGAGTACACACTGACATTTGAGTGCACGTCTGGTCCCTATCAGTGGTGTAAAGTAACTAAGTAGATTTACTCAAGTACTGTGCTCGAGTTCAATTTTGTGCTACTTTCTACTTCTACTCCACTACAATTATTTGATACCTTTAGTTACTTTACAGATTTGGATTAATGATGTGAAATAGTATCAACATTTAAATCCAATTTACACCTGGGGTAAATTCACAAGCTACCCTGCAGAATAAAAAATAATTAACACTAGCTGCACCTTTACCAGCTTTGATAACAATTTAATGCAGGGGTGTCCAAACTACGGCCCGTGGGCCAAATGCGGCCCACGCTCCATTTTGAATCGGCCCTCAGCAAATTCCAAAAGTATAATGGAATATGGCCCACAAACTTGTGCTTGTCTTATATTGTACTAATTAAATATAAATGTAAAAATATATTACACAGTAGTATTCATGTGTTAAGACCACTTTTCAAATAAATTCAGTCAATTAAAGTTGGAAACTTTTTCTAACATATCTTAGTTGATAAGAAAAAAGCCCAATGACTTATTTACATAGCAAGCTTGAAATATACCCTTCCTATTTCTCCTTATTGTAATCAATCTGAGGTTTCTGTTTTAAGGGATGAGCTGCCAACACTCACAAGCCTCATTGACCTACATTTGATTGATTTTGCTAACTTATAGCTGAACTTATGAGGTAATGTACCTCTAGTGAGCGGCCCATCCCTTCCTGTATATTTCTGTATGTGGACCTCTGTGAAAAAAGTTTGGACACCCCTGCTTTAATGCATCAATAATTATAATTAAAACATATTATTCTGAAATGGACCGATCTGCATAATGAGTAATTCTACTTTTTGTACTTTCAGTACTTGTTTATGCTAATACTTTTCTACTTTTACTTGAGTAACATTTTGAATGCAGGACTTTTACTTGTAAAGAGTATTTACAGTACAAAGAGTATTCCTACTATATGGTACTTCTACTTTTACTCAAGTACAAGCTCTGAGTACTTCTTCCAGGCCATTTCCATGCTAATATTTTTGTACTATTACAACAAATATTTTTAAATGCCAGACTTTTACTTGTAACAGTATTTTAAGAGTGTGATTTGTTACTACTGAAATACAGATATACCTGAGTACTTTTTGCGCCTTTGGCATGAATAAACTACTTGTGTGTCTCGTCAACGCTTCCTCGCGGGTGGTGAAATCTAAAAGCGGATGTTTTCCACTCGGTGCATTTCCGGGTAGCTCAGCTAGCTAGCTGTCCAGACAAACCGAGCAACTTTTGACAATGATAGCACTAGCATAGCTGGCTGAATTGAGTGAAAATGAAGAGCATACTGTTCATTGCCTTTCTGGCTCCTTGTTGGGTCAACTGTGCTATTAAGTCGAGAGTTATTACGGAGGAGAATCACGAAGAAAACCCGGAGTACGGTGAGTAACGCAAGCTAACTCAGGCTAACATTAGCTAGAATGTTCAGGCTTTCTGTTTTATGAACTATGTGCTTTCTAACTATCTATGTAATTAGTATTTACTGTAATTATCAACCAGTATCAATTACAGTGTAATGCTTAGGCGATGAGTCCTGTATACTTTGAATGAACACACGCAGTTTCTGCTTGGTCCTGGATGACAGTCTCTCCATGTCTTCCAGATGCTCTGAGCTCCATCCTGTCAGATTTTGAGGTGCTGCCATTGTCAGGCCTCCAGCTGCACTCCGTAAGAAAGAGGGACGTCCACACCCAGTCTCACCTGGAGCGCCTGGTGAGCTTCAGAGCCCTGCACAGGTACAGCAGCCCCCTCATGTCTCTGACACAAGCCCACCTCAGAGAACAGCTGTTGTGTACTTTGGAGTAATGATGCAGAATAAGTTCACATTTTAACAGGTGGGAGAACTACTCGGAGTACTCAAGTACCAGACTGTAGGAATACTCTGTTACAAGTAACAGTCCTGCATTCAAAATGTTACTCAAGTAAAAGTACAAAAGTATTAGCATCAAAATGTACTTACAGTTCTAAATGCAAGTGGTTTGATTCCAGAATTGGAGGACATTTCATGTCCCCCATATAAAAAATCTAATAATCCATGCCCAAAATGCTAAAACATGCACTTGTTGTGTTAAACATACTTGTCTTGAGACAAAATGTATATAAAGTTGTAGAAAAAGTGGTTTCAAAATATTATTTAAATTATCAAATAGCTCTCGAACATCCCCTAAAATGGCATTTTTCTCTTGTCCCCGCTTCTTGGTGACCAACTTGCATGTCAAATATAACATTTAAAATAGGGATTTTATTTACTTTTGTTGGTATTATTCTATTGATATATGTCTCTTGTAATGGTAAAATCAATTTGTTAAATCATAAAGATATTTTAAATAACAGTAATTTTGCACAGAAGGTGTGTCCCTCAACATGCGTTCAACCCTGTTACCCAAACCTTTTTAGATTGGCACAGGAAGTGAACAAACTGTAAGTCAGGTGACACAGTGGAAGTGACATCAGCAAGCCATGTGCTAGTGCCATGTGTAGACCAAAACTAAGTCCTCTCTTTTATTTTTCATATTTTTACAATCTTTTCAGTCTTAAAAGAGTGTGGCACTCTGACCCACTCAACCCTGTTACTGATATTATCAGAATAAAGCATATTCATGTCAAAGTTATCTTTCTTGCATTAGATATCCAAGTTTGTCCTTGCCTTGAAAGTAGCATTACATGCTACATCTAGCAATAATTCCTGAGGTTAAAGCTCAAATTAGCATTGATTTTCAACCCTGTTACTTTCAACCCTGTTACTATAATTAGAGTAACAGGGGTAATTCTTCATTGGAAAATATACATTTGATGCCTAGCTGGGCAAATCTCTTTTTTTGATGGTTTATTATCTGTTTTTCCTAAATACATAAAAACAATTATAAAATAAAAGGTTAATTTTTCAAAAATGTTGGTGTCTAAATTGTCCTCCAATTCTGGAATGACGTACATGTGTATATCAAAGGTGGAACTAATTTTAATAACTTTATATGCAGCAGGGTAGCTTGTGAATGTTACTCTAGGTGTAACTAGTATTACGTCTTATTTAAGTATTCTCTATATTTCACACTATAAATCCAAATCTGCAAAGTAACTTGTATAAGTACACTATTTACCTCTGAACATTAGTGGGGTGGAAGTACAATTGTATTTAAGTACAGTACTTGAGTTAATGTACTTACTTAGTTACTTTATACCACTGCATTTTAAACATCATTGGCCAGACTATGACATATAATCGAATGAAGAGATATTATCCTAACAAAAGTACTTTTTGAAGCAGCAATGCAATCATGTTCAGGTTAATGTATATAAGCTTTGTTTTCTTTCTTTCTTTTTTAGAAATTTCAAGCTTTACCTGACCACGAACACACACCTTTTCACTGAGGACTTTAAAGCTGTGTTTGTTGATGAACATGGGAGGGAGGAAAAGTACGATGTTCATCTTCAGAACTATTTCACTGGACATGTTGTTGGTGAGTACAAACTTCTGGCATAAGGGATTCACCAATGCTTCATTTTAAATACAGTTTTTTACCCTAATTTGGATTTCCCAGGCAAGTTTTTTTGCATGTGCAGGAGGAAAACTTTAATCTGAGAAATGATGACTAATTAAATGGCACTATTTGCCATATTATATCAGCAATACATATAATGTTGGGCTGATGTAAATACTCCTTGGTCATTTAATTGATCAGTGCACCTTTTTACTTAAAACATTACTCGATCTAGTTTGCACTTGTCAATCGTTTAATTAAAGCTTTATTTGTTCTGTGTTTCCAGGGGAGGAGAATTCCCGTGTGCAGGCACACATAGAAGGAGATGAGTTTTCTGCTCACATTCTGACTGATGAAGTCGAGTACAACGTAGAGGTAAGAACTGACTGTAACATAATCGTTTTTATGTGTAGAGTCAGAGTAGAGAGGGTACTGACCCATTTTTTAAAAATACGCTTAACCCCAAGCCATTTTATCCAAGGCATTTGACTTAGTTTGGCAGTAGAGAGGCCACACTGTTGAGGACTGTGATGGCCTTTTCAGCATTACCAAGTGCAATTGTATGCTTTACGCTACAAAACAAAAAAGAACATGGTGCTTTTGCTGTACTCAAAATCTGGGATGCTTTTGGTGTTTATGCCGTTAGATGATATTGCTTCTCAGCATAAAAAAGACTAGTCATGGTAGTGCCATCCTCTGTGATTGCCTTTTGGATATACCAGTGATCATTTGTTATATTGGTATAATAACCTGGGCTTTCTGTCTCTGATCATTTTAACAAAGGGTACGATAGTAGTTTGAAGTTATTTCTGATTTGCCCGTCCAAACTCCACCTGTAGTAGCTTATGCAAAATATGTTAAAGCTGCCAAAGAGGAAGAGGAAGGCAGCTTTTATGCCTTGTAGCCCAGTTTATCTCATGCTGAGAATTTCACATCAATCCATTTGCTTTTGTTCTCAAGTTCCACCTGTTTTTCTCTGGACTTCCAGCCCCTTTGGAGGTTTACAGATTCCCCGGCTGATGGCAGGTTGCTGGTTTATCGCTCGGACGACATCAAGAATCTGAGCCGCATCGCCTCTCCAAAAGTGTGTGGCTACGTCCACGCGGAGGCTAACGATCTGCTGCCACAGACTGCCAGGAGGAGTTGGGATGGACAGGAGGAGGTGGACCAGGAAAAGGGTGAGCTCGGCTTCTGTTTTCCTCACTAAGCTGTCGATACCTGCAAATGTGTGTGGTGCTATTCGTAGCAGGAATGTGGAGGAGAAAGAAACGGTAAGTACAGGGTTGGAGATCAAAAAAATGTGTTGATCATCTGCTCTGCGCTCTTGTTTGTGGTTAGTTTAGAGTAGATACAAAAGTAAAAGAATAACGCATGTTTAGGATAGAGAGAAGAAAGGAGATGGCTGTAATGGTGAGACAAAAGAGGTGGGTGTTAGGTTTCTGTAACAGTCACTTTAATAAAAGCCTTTTTATCTGTAAAACCTAGCCCAAGCCATTCACATACACACTGCTGACAAGTGGGTATTATGTAACAGCCAGATGCCTTTTGATTCCTTTGTGCTGCTTTGGAAATGTAAAGCATATAACCTTGATAATGTGCCAGAGGAGAAATCTAACACCTCTCACTGGCTGCTGGTTGAAAGTGCTCATCGGGGATATGATGTGAGGTGAAGGTTCTTATGGAGGAGGCATTCAAATTCATGCAGGCTCTGCTGCCCAATCAGATGCCTCCGAGTCGTCACCGGTCTCCCACCACACAGGGCAGCGCACCCCCACACTTCTGAACAGTGTATGATGTAATGCTCAAATGGGATCTCTTCCTGTTTTTCCATTTCTGTCAATCTTCAACTACTCATTGTTTTAAGACTCAAGGTTTATGAGGCATCTCTGTAGAGTCTATAAATCCCTGTGTCACAATGTTTTGCCCGGCCATATTGTATCTATACATCAAGGCCTATACTGCAAACACAAATTAGGCTTTTTATTTTGTCCACTAGATGGGTCAGTTTTGTAAGTAGTAATTCTTAGTCAACTAACACTTATGCTGTAAATCAAGCCTTAATTTTCTGGCTGACACAATTGCGTAATTATAGCGAGGCTTGTAGACCGTTACTCAGTTGTTTATGTAAATGTGAACTACATGGATCAAAACTGTGGCTTAGCTATGCAACTCTGTCTATAAGGATCTAACCGCCCACGGTTTCACTACTCTACAGCCTTTACATTGTGCAATCAACATCTTCATTATAATACGAAACAATGTGCTTTCAGATTGAACATAACATTGATGTATAGAAGTAAAAAACAGTTAGCTCTAACTGGATTTATTCTTGCTCGAAGAACAGAAGCAGCGTTTAATCAGTTCACATGCGAACTAAAAAGAATATGTGCTGCTAATTGTGAAAATGAGGGCAATTAACAATGTAATACTGGAGCATGGCCTCATTGTTTAACTTCCTTTCCTACATTAGTTTCCCTCGACTGTTGCTGCACCTCAATATGACAATGCTTAATGAACATTAGGGCTACTTTGTTCTTTTGCTTTTTGGCCGCCTGTGACCATTTTCCTTTATCTACTCCTGTGTCTCTTTGTGCCGCTGGTGCTTCTTCAGGCTTCCTCCACAGAGAGAAGAGACAGGCTCACGATCACAAGAAGAACACCTGCCCCCTGCTGCTGGTCGCAGATTACCGCTTCTTTGAACACATGGGCCGCGGACAAGAGAGCGTCACTCTCAACTACCTGGTCTGTTTCCATGATGCTATGTACCAAAAATATTCCAGAGATAATTCACCATGTAAAGCTTGAACCTGCATCCATAGGGTATTATGAGGTTGATGTATGTTTTTTATTTCAACAGTTTAGTTTGAAATCAAATGCACTAATATATGATCAGCATGTCGACTATACATGTGAATATATCTAAGGCAAGTTTATTATGCATCACACAATTCAGCAATACGGCAATTCAAACTGCTTTACATTAAACATCTAAAACATTGAGACAAAGCGCAAAAGAAACCCACCACAATGGGTGCTTTAATCCAAGTAAAACCGTTGTTAAATAGCTACAAAAATGAAACATTTGACTACAATAAGACTGGTGTCAAATAAAAGAAAGAGCAACAGATAACAATGCAGTGTTAGATATTTAATTATTTGATTTCATAAATGACAGCAGGAAGGTTTTCAGTCGGTCTGGATTTCAAATAATCGAGACTTGCAATGGATCTGTAAAAGCAAAAATAATTGTTTTTGTGATGTTTAAATATGTCTTAATGTTAAAAAAATCCTGTTTTTTCCCCATCTCACTCCAGATTGAGCTGATTGATCGAGTTGATGACATTTATAGGAACACAACCTGGGATGATGAATTTATAGGCTATGGGGTTCAGATCCATCAGGTGTGTGTTTGTGTGTGATGATCAACTGCATTTTAATATCATTTCACGCCTAACTTGTGGAGCAATTTGTGGCGTTTTAGCATCAGACATCCCTGCTATCTGACATCAGTGTGTTTGAGAACAGCATTTCTAAGGAGGAACTGAACGCCTTTGTGTTTGCCCTCCGGGGTATTTAATTTGTTCCACTGGCTTTGGGAATGAATGGAGACTCTGTATGTCATATTGTGAGTCCCGGGTTTTCTCATCTTAAAGCTATGCATTCATTTAGCTGCTCAGTTATTTTCCATCCATGCATTTCAAGAAAAACTTGTAATGTTTAGGGCTAGGGTTAGGGGGTTAGGTTAGGGGGTTAGGTTAGGGGGTTAGGGTTAGGGGGTTAGGTTAGGGGGTTAGGGTTAGGGGGCTAGGGTTAGGTTGGTAGATTCCAATACCTATAAAGAAGGCTTCAACTGCAAGCCACAAAACATGATGCTGAATGACTGATTTAGAGTTACATAGTTGTTGTTATTGTTGTTGTTATTATTATTAATAATTGCATAGTTTTGACTGAAACTGAGGGAATGATCTTCACACTATCTTTGAAATATATGATGAAGCAATCATGATGTGATATATATTTTTAAGAGGGTCTGCACCAAACAAGGGGACAACTAAGTCTGTAAAATACCTATGTAGGCCAAGACTCCTCTGCAGCACCCTCATATTTATCTCAGATATTTACCATATACTGCCCTTCTGCCATTTGGATATTTCATTAGTCCATACTGCAATTTTGAAAGATAAGACAAAGTTAAACAACTTAAAATGTATCTGTGACTTTAGGGGCAACATATATCTAATGTGTGTTATGCATCTCGGAGTCTTGACTCGTGAGTTTCCCTGAACGATGATCATGAGCCAGTTCACTGAGATTTGTTTTAAGGCTTTGTATCAACTTTGATGAATTGTTCAAAAATTGTGTCTTTGGTTACCTCTCTCAGATCATCATCAACAAGGAGCCTACAAAGCCCCCCCCCGGGCACAACGCCCGCTGGCTCAACTATAACATGAAGGACAGTCCCGTGAAAGGAAAGGTGGTCTGGGACGTGAAGAGACTTCTGGAGGTAAAAAAGGAGACCTAGAAAAAGTGTACATTAGGAGAGGAGAGGTTGGGGAAATACAGTGGATCAGTCAAAACTTATGATATGGGGATATTCAATTTAGAAGAAATGTAAGTGTACGAATATCAAGGATATGTTCGAGATCATTTGGAAAACAATTGACTGGTGAAATGTCCTGCTCGGTTCAAATATTTAGATTTTGAAATAGTTTATCCTTTTGTTAATAAAGTTAATAAATCTGGATTAGGTTTGATACATGTTTAGAGTAATGCTATCTCAAATAGTTGAATTTCAAAATGTTAATGTCCTTGTCTTAATAAGTTCATAAAGTCAATGTCATAAAACGTATACAAAAGAGAACGTCTTACAGTGTTGAGACTGCTTGTGTGAGACAGGGAGTCAAAATAACTTAAACAAATGGAAGATAATATTTTAAATGTTGTCCCTTTTTAGCAATTCAGCTCGGACATCGCTGACAACGCCTCCACTGTGTGTCTGGCCCACCTGTTCACCTACCAGGATTTCGATGAGGGAACCCTGGGGCTGGCCTACGTGGCCCCCTCCAAACCTCAGGCCCTGGGCGGCCTCTGCCCGAAACGTAAGGACGCATCCCATCATGGCCAAACGGCTTCATTTTGTGTGCTGTGTGTCTTTCTCATGTAAAACATCACCAGTATGTGGTCAATTCAGTCTGCCATGGATCCATCTCAGAGCAATTGTTTGTCATGTTTACAGACCATCTATGTTGCCCTTTCAATGACAATCTCCCACAATCATGTGAAGTTTTATAAAGCTGCTGATCTGTTTGAGTTGTCACCATAGTAACGACAAAAATTACACGCAAGTGTGGGAAAACAGATTAGTGGAGCCATGGGTTTTTTTGTACAGCAAACCGGATAGATAGATCTTTAATTTTGTCATTGTACAGGTACAACGAAATTACAATAAACTCAAGGTGCCAACACGCAACAATAAGACAATATAAAAACAACAAGACACTATAAAAACAATAAATGGGACTTAAAATAGACATGATAGGGAATATGTACATAAATAAATAATAAATAAAATTGCACGATTCCCCTCGTATTGCACGGAAGGCTTATATAATTTAAATATTAGCAGCGTTTAGTGCACATATGGCCCTGGGAAAAAAACTGAACATGAGTCTGTTTGTCCGGGAAGACATGGTACGGAAGCGCCTGCCTGAGCGCAGCCGTACAAAGTGCTCGTTACCCGGGTGGTGTACTGACATCAAGCTCTAATTTTTCTTCTTGTAGCATACTACCCGTCTAACTCTGCAAAGCCCAGTTACCTCAACACAGGCCTGACCAGCACCAAGAACTACGGCAAAACCATCCTAACAAAGGTTTGTATTCCTCGTTTTCAATCATTGTCTCGTGCAAGGCTAGTAACTGGATGCACGCGGTTTTAGCAGGATTTAATGCAACATGTCATGCAGTGTCGGCACTAAGCAGAGCAGACGCATACTATATGTGTGGGTGGTCTGAGTGAAGATGTTAACACTTGCATTTTGGCACCTCGGTTATCAGTTTCTTGCTCGCTCCTTAGCACAGTTTGAAGTGACTTTTTTACCATAACAAGAGCTTGGAGTGATTTTGTGATATTGTAACCTCTATTATAATATGTATGTTTTTTGTCAGCAATAAATGGGAGAATGTGCTATAAGACATGTTTTTTGTCCTGCAGTTTGTGCCATTCATTCCTGATCAATACAGTCGTAAACTATATGTTGTCCCATCAGGAAGCAGATCTAGTGACGACTCACGAACTCGGCCATAACTTTGGAGCAGAACACGATCCTGACAACATCCCATACTGCGCTCCCAGCGACGACCACGGCGGGAAGTTCGTCATGTACCCGATCGCTGTGAGCGGAGACCATGTCAACAACAAGGTACTCGTAAAGCAGTACAATGTTCAAATCAAACTTCAACATACAGAAGGATACAGCAGAAGCATAACCATCTGCTATACAAGAAACTATGCAGACAGTTATGAGTAAACACTGAGTTCACGCTGCATAACGAGACATGATCGGAGATGCTGAACATTCAGTGTTGGATAAATGTGAGTCACAGTTGTTCCTGTAGAACATGATGACGGTGAATATACTGCACCTCCCCCGGCATCAGCTTTAGAAACTAATATGCATGACGATGCTGAAGTTAAGGGTTTAAAATGCTGCTGTTTATCAAATGGGATTTTCCTGCACATAAACAACAAACAAGAAATCTTGGATCACATCAGTATGCATCTTTAAAAAGGCATACAAAGATAGTAAAACTGTTGATGGGGCTGTAACTTCATTCTTACTTATCCAAAGAAGAATCAAACATTTTTCACTGACATTTTATCCTTGCAGCTATTTATTTGACAGAGATTTGCATGAGGGTTGTGAAATATATCGATATTATACCAATATTGTGATATAAGACTAGATATTTTCTTAGATTTCTGCTAACGTATCTGTTTTTTCCTGGTTGTTAAAGCTACTTTACAGTACAGTTCTGAACCCACCAGACGGTTGAAGCTTTTTCTATTATGTACCTTTAGCTACTTTATATCCACATTACTGGTTATTTATTAAGAATCGAATTGTGAAAATATCATGTGAAAGCCCCAACAGTGAAGCCTGCAACAATGTTGAAATATCCATATTGAGGTATTTGGTCGAAAATATACATTTTGCCCTAATTTACATGTTGTTGTTTTAATTGTTCCACTTTTAGCAGTCCTTTGCCACATCTTCTTTCCAACACTCCCACTCACTATCTAACCCTCGTTTACTTCTCCTTCCCTCGTGAAGCGCTTCTCCAACTGCAGCAAGATCTCCGTAGGGAAGACGTTACGTTTCAAGGCCCCCGTGTGCTTCAAGGAGAGGAACAGCAAGGTGTGTGGGAACTCCAGAGTGGAGGAAGGGGAGGAGTGCGACCCCGGGCTGCTCCACCTCAACGACGACCCCTGCTGCACAGCTGACTGCAAATTCAAACCTGGGGCAAAGTGCAGGTATGAGGTCCAAATCACAGATGCATTTCTACTAAAAGTCTAAAAGCTCACAACATTTGATGAATTGAGCTTCAGATGCTTCTAGTTTAAGGCACACACACATTCCCACGTGTCTGTTCTCTCCACAGTGACAGAAACAGCCCTTGCTGTAGGAGCTGCAAGTTTGAGCATGCAGGAATAAGATGCCAGGAACCCATTAGTGCGACCTGTAAAGGCATCTCCTCCTGCACTGGTGAGCGCCTCCTGCTGGTCTAACACAAGAACTGCGCAAACGTTTTTTATACATTTACACCTCTCTACCTTCCTAACACTAAGAAAGTGGATCACATCACTCCTGTTCTGAAGTCTTTACACTGGCTTCCTGTGTGTCAAAGAATAGATTTCAAAAATACTGCTGCTGGTTTATAAAGCACTGAATGGTTTAGGCCCAAAATACATTTCTGACCTCCTGCTAAATTATGAACCATCCAGATCTCTCAGGTCTTCAGGGACTGGTCAGCTTTCTGTCCCCAGAGTCAGAACTAAACATGGTAAAGCAGCGTTCAGTTATTATGCTCCAAATATCTGGAACAAACTCCCAGAAACCTGCAGGTCCGCTGCAACTCTGACTACTTTTAAATCCAGACTGAAGACTTTTCTTTTTGCCGCTGCTTTTAATAGATCTATTCACATCTTAAACTGCACTCTAACTTTTATCCATGTACTTTTTCTTTTAATGTTTATTTTATTATCTTTTCTTTTTAATGACTGATTTTAAATGCCATTTTCTTAAAGTCTTTCATTTTTTGTAAAGCACTTTGAATTGCCTTGTGTTGAAAGGTGCTATATAAATAAACTTGCCTTGCCTTCCTTTCACCTATTAGGCAACAGCAGTCAATGCCCCCCTCCTGAAAACGCTGAAGACAACATGGTGTGTGTTGACAACGGTCGCTGTCTCAATGGAGAGTGCAACCCTTTCTGTGAGGCCATGCAGAACCTTCAGTCCTGCGCCTGCAACGGTGAGAGCTGCTGTCACAAGTGGATCGATGTCAAATGTTTGGCCAATGGAACAGCAGAGTCCTAGTGATCATGGAGGCCCCGGAGTTTGACATGAAACATCAAGACATTTGAAAGAAGTTGAAATCATACCTTGGGGAAATATTTCTTCAATTCTGAAATACATAAAAACATTAGAAGGGCCTCTGGTAGATGTGAAAATCCTACAAGCCAAACAGTTAAACAACCTTTTGTTTAGTTTACATCCAGATATAGGATTTTTAAAGATTGTTTACAGGTCTGAATGACTGGATGTAATGTGTGCACTGCCACTGTTAATGCAGGATAAAGTTATTATAACTATTTAAACGTTTTCTGTTTGCAGAGACGGAGGACTCCTGTAAAGTGTGCTGCAGAAGGAGCGATGGCGCCTGCGCCCCCTTCATCCAGTCCAATACTAGTCTCCTTTTCCTGCGCAAAGGCAAACCCTGCACCGTGGGCTTCTGTGACGGGGGCGTGAGTCACCAAACCTCTTATATCTGTCCATCAGCTGATTGTACCATGTTTAGTTATTTGTGCTTAGTTCCTATTACTGTCCAGCTCTGAAAAGCCTTGTATGAATGATATATGTTTTAGCTTTATTTGGCTGTTTGAAGATCATCAACTTCTTCCTGTTTTGAATACAGGGAAAGTGCATGAAGCAGGTGCAGGACGTGATCGAGAGGTTGTGGGATTTTATCGACAAGCTGGACATCAACACATTTGGTAAGTTTGTTACAACAGACCACTAATCATGAGAATGTGTCAAATGTAGGGTTTTTACAAAATGTAGTTCATTTGATTCTTTTTTAGGTTTCGTTCGAAGCCTTAAGTGCCTGCCGTCAGAATGTATGAAAAATGAAAAACACCTCTTTTTAATAAATACAACTTGTCAGAGTGTACCCCTTTATGTGCATGGCAAACAAGCTGAAATATGTTGTTGTTGTTAGGAAAAACAACAACAAATGTGGATTAAGCAGAATACTTTGTGAGATCAAATTGACTACAGCTTTGTTTCATATATTTTGACTTTTGGACAAAATAAATGCTGTTTTTATAATTATGTTGTCAACATGATGAATGATGCTGCAAACAATGAAGCTGCACAGCATTCTGTACAGCCCTAATAAAGCAGACCTAAGGATTTGAAAAGTCATTATCTTCTTTTGGATGACCATCAGCTGAGTTACCTTTTCTGTTGTTCCTTCTATCCCCCTAAACCCCATCAGGAAAGTTCCTGGCTGATAACATCGTGGGTTCCGTCGTGGTGTTTTCACTTGTCTTCTGGATTCCTCTCAGTATCCTCGTTCACTGTGTGGTAAGAATCTGCTGCTCATGGATTTTTATTAATTTCCAGCAGTCTTTAGTTTTTCAATCATCATTATACTATTATACCATTTTTTACTTAGTCAAATGTTGACAGTCTTTTGTGGTCTTTTTCCGCAGGACAAACGTCTTGACCAGCAGTATGAGGATAACACCAAGTCCCTTTACTACCCTCCAAGCGTAGGTTTCTCCTCTCTTAAATGCCCAAATAGGATCCTGTGCACTAGCCTTGCTGCCACACTAACTTAACTAATACAACCCCACATGCTGACAGCATTAATAAGAGAGGGAGAGGGGAGTCTGAAGCCTGATTGTTCAGGTTGAGTTACTCGTTTTTTTCTGAATCTCTGTCGCCATTAAAAATCAGAAACATATTTTTTCTTCATTAGACTCAAAGCACAATGAAAACAAAGCCAAAAAACACAAAGCCTCTCTCAGTGTAGGTAAACAAATAAATAAAAGTAAATTGGCGCTAAAGCATGTTCAACCATTATTTGAGATTAATTATACAATGTAACCGTTATTACAGACTTGATCAAAAGCTAAACACATTAAGATTACTTTAAGTAAACAACAAACACAGCAATACAATGTGTATTGTAATAAATAAAGGTACAAAATAAATAAAAGAATAAGGGGGGCTTACTTCTTGAATTTGACTAAACATATCAGTTTTTTTAACAGTGTAAAAAAAACATGAAAAATGAATAATATTTGATTATGTGCGACACAACTGGCCTTTGCAACCCTTCTTACAAAAGAATCTTCTTTGGTTAATTTTCTTTTAAAGGCCCTGTAAAACAAATGTTTACAATCAGTACATGATGTGATTAAGTTAAAAAAGCTCTCAGACAAGAACACAGATACTAATGAACATTTAGCCTTATAAAGATTTCCGTAACACCATTCCCAAGACAGTCCTGAGACAACTGATGTTTAGTCTGAGTGTTGAAAGCACGTGGTGAGAGCAGACCACACATGGATTCAGAATCCATCAGTCAGCCTCACCGTCAGGTTCCAGCTCCGTTGACCTGTGCATCACTCTTTGCCTTGGCCCTTTTCATTCTCATTGGAACTGCAGCAGATGGTGGAAGTTTGTAGTAGGGCTCCCGCCATAGGTGAGTGCGTCTGGCTTGGTGTTGCGTTGCCATGGAGTCCATGATGATGCATGGTCAGCTGCCCACGTTTGGGATACTCCTGCAGTCACTTACTCCTTGATGTAATCACTGATCTGTTTGCACGTTTCCTGCGTCTTTGAGAGGCTCAAACTGAAGCTAAGCTAATGTGACTGGATAGTTGTAATGTTGTCCACACAGCAGAGTCTTATCTGATCAGAAATTACCTCAAGAAAGCAAGATTGCATTTTAGGAGTATTCAAACATCGAGAGGACTGAACAGGTTGCACCTTGGTTGTGTTTTGTGAAATCGGATGCCGTGTGCGTTTTTTAAGTTTGTATCTGCTGCTGTTCAATGCTCCAAGAGAGGGTGTTTGTTATTCGTTATTTTATTTGACTGGCTGTGTACAATGTGTTCTGTTTAGGCTGATTGGGAACTTGTGGAGACTGAGGGTGCATTCCTCTATAGACGTTTTTCATGGCAGACATTTTGACAGGAAAAGCAAAGCAGCAACTAATGACATTAATGATGGCAAAATTCCACTTAGGTGTGACAGGAAGTCCTTAAAGTGAGCCAGCATGCACAGTGTGGATGGACTGCAGCCATTATTAATATTAGTTAAACCTTTGATTGACAACACAAAATGTCCACTGTGAGAAATGTTTCTTTTTACTCATTCCCACTTTGAAAGGGGGTGCTGTGGGTGGAGATGGCTGATGGCTATTAGTAAATTATTTGTAAGTATAATTGAACAGCTTTAGAGTTCTGATTATTAACTATAATGTGATGATGAAGATATAAGTAGAATGGAGTAAAAAGGGAATGGATCCCTCCTCAGTCGGAGACAGTCAGATTTGTTGTGTTTTGGTCTCACATGTTGTTCTCGCTCTGCAGAGTCAAGAAATGCTGAACAATCTCGAGTCGGCGTCCGTGCGCATCGTCAAACCTCCCTTCTTCTCCGCCGGCCGGACCGTGCCCTCCTCCCTGCCCCCCCCGCCTCCGCAGCAGAGCCCGGCCGGGGCCTCTCCCGGGGTCAGCACGAGTACCCAGGCCCCCGACCTGAACTCCGGCTCCATCCCGGACAGCGCCGGGGGGCCGCGGATGGCCACCATCCAGGAGGACACCAGCAGCGGCTCTCACCTGGGAGAGGAGGGCCTGTCGGACGATTTCACAACCGCAGGAGCCTCCTCGTCGGCTACGAAATCCTCCTACGAGGATCTGACCGATCAGAACCCGCAAAGCCGGGACCGGAGGCGCCTCAAGAGGCAGGACTGCATTGACACAAAAGAGACAGAGTGCTGAGAGCACTTTTAGTTTAAAAGCATCCACATGTACATGGTGTGTGTTTTAGGGTTGGCCAGATGAAACCTGCTCTGTGGAAATACATCCGCCACAGTTCGGCTTCCCAAACACATTCAATTATCTTTTTGTTGAATATGCAATTAAAAAAAGGTGAGCTATTTTCGTGGATCAGTTAGCTTAAAAAAACATCACGTTAACAGCCCCGTATGTGCATTTAGTACTGTCTTCAAAGCAATGCAACCTTTGCCCCACTGGCAGATTAACAGGTGAATGATGTGAAATAATATCGATGATGTAGCTGTGGTTATTTTACCGTAAATTAAACATTTCAGTGTGCTCAGCGGCACAACTTGACTTTAAAATGCTTTTTTTTTTAACTGAATCAAAACTGCACTTGAAGTATTTTTCACATCACTGGAAAATGAAATATGTTCTTACTGTGTTTCCTTGATGGTCTCTTTAAAAGATATTTTATTATAGTTTAACCCTTTGAACCTATTAGTTTGTATTTGTCCAGCTGTTGACAGTCATGTTGTCTTCATGGAACAACATGGTGCCTTTTCTGAATTTGTGCCTCATCATTCTGAGCCAACGTATGTCTTTGCAAAGAGCTCCAGTATACGAGGCATGAATATAGACAGTCATGAATTCAGTGATTTAAGAAACTTCCTGAGGTGATCAATTGATGTGTTTTTTTTATTGTGTCAACACGAGTAATGCATCTGTTATTTTATGCTGTCTCCCCACTGTTGCCTGCTGTGTGACATGTTGTAAAATACATGAAATCTAGATCAAGGGAAAAACTAAAGTGTGGCTAACATGTACTCTCCTGGATTAATTTGAGCTGTTAGACAACGAGCAGATGTCGTGTGTCATATATTCTGATGTGTATATTCTTAATGTTTCTATACTATAAAAAGTAAACCCTTGAGGTCCTTTTTTTTTAAGTTCGTGCTTGTATTGTCTACGCATCTCAAAATAAAAATATCTTTATTGTGCATTTCAAACATTCGTCACATTTTAATGGAAAAAAACTGATCAAAGCTGCTTTGTTGTTTAAAAGCAGGAATGCACTCCTGTGTGAGGCTTTCCGGTTACTCTGGAATTAACATTATTCCTCCACAGATGATCCATCTCTGTATGATATTTCAGATCCTCTCCCTCACTGGTCACAGAGGAGGCTGCTCTCGGGGCTCTTGGCGTCCACGTCCCCCCAGTACGGCAGGATAAAGGGCAGGTGGGCCACGCGACTCTCCAGCAGCTCCCACAGGTGCTGAGACACAAACTGGTTCCCCTCCTGGGACAGATGCAGCCCGTCAGACAGAAAGGCTGTGTAGTCCTGTGGACCAGAGGACAAAACAGGAAGGCTATAAAAGTAAATTCATATATACGCCGCGATCCTGAGTCGAGGCTGATCCTGTTGCTGTGGTCCTGTGTCCTGGATCCTCTATCCTGAGTTCTGGATCTGAGTCCTGGACTTCGAGTCGTGGCTGAACCTGTCTCTGTGGTCCTGCCTGACTCTCAAAATACTACTTCCCTGATTACTCCCACAGGATTGTTGACATCCTTGTAGATTCATCTTCTTATTATAGACACATGCATTTCCAAACATTTGGTCTACCTATGCTGTAAAATGTATCATCTCTTCGATTTACACACGGCATCTATTGCACGTCTGTCCGTCCTGGGAGAGGGATCCCTCCTCTGTTGCTCTCCCTGAGGTTTCTCCCATTTTTCTTTAAACTGTGGGTTTTCTCTGGAAGTTTTTCCTTGTACGATGTGAGGGTCTAAGGACAGAGGGTGTCGTATTGTCATACTGATATTCTGTACACACTGTGAAGACCACTGAGACAAATGTAACATTTGTGATATTGGGCTATATAAATAAACATAGATTGATTGATTGAAAGGTCAATGCTTTCAGTCAATCTCATATTGAGACATTTGAAACCTAAGGATGCAGGATTGACGATACATACTACATTTATATACAGGGCTCGACATTATAAATGGCCCGCTGGCCTGGAAGCACTATTTAGACACCCCGGGCCAGCATAACGTACTTTCCACTTGCCCGCTCGGGCCACTAAAATGATTGCTTTAAAAAATAATGTGTCCTGTGGTATTGGTATTTTGTTAAATTGTTTCATTTATTAACGCTACAACATAGCGTTTCGTGAGTTGGTTGTCGTTGTTGGGTGAAAAGCAAACAGCTGTTTGCACAGCGCGAGCAGGCTCCCGTGAGCGGGAGCGCGCTCCTTCACTACAGACTATCGCGCCACCTAACCATTCGCCAAAATGTTTTTAATACCACCGGTAACCGGCCAAGCACCGGGCAAAAAACTATCTTCAAATAAAAGAAAGTTACCGGAGGAGTTCAAGGAGAGTGACAGGGAGTATGAGAAGAAGAGGGAGAGAACGTTTCAGCCAGCTTGATCGATGGAGTTGGCTTCTAGTGGTGCAGTGACGCATCCTAAAACCCTAAAACCCTTCACTGGCTTCCGGTAACTGCTAGAATCCACTTCAAGACACTGGTACTTGCTTACCGTGCTGCGAATGGATCTGGCCCTTCGTACATCCAGGACATGGTTAAACCGTACACCCCAGCGCGTGCACTACGCTCTGCATCAGCCAAACGACTTGCTGCGCCCTCGCTGCGAGGGGGACCCAAGTTCCCATCGGCAAAAACACGTGGGTTTGCTGTCCTGGCTCCAAGATGGTGGAATGAGCTCCCCATTGACATCAGGACAGCAGATAGCTTGCACATCTTCCGGCGCAAACTGAAAACTCATCTCTTTCGACTCCACTTCGAGCGTTAGAACTATTAACAAAGCACTTATATACTAATAAAGGACTGGCTTATCTAAAGCCAGTTGAGTAGCACTTGAAATGTTTGGCTCTATGAAACCTGATGTACTTATATGATTCTGTTTTCTTCAAGGTTGTGTCTTCCTGGTCGAATGTACTTATTGTAAGTCGCTTTGGATAAAAGCGTCAGCTAAATGTAATGTAATGTAATAATCTATCAATTAGATTTATGATTCGAAAATTATAAAAGTAGGGTAGACATGTGGATAATATCCGGCTGAACAAAACGTGAATTTATCAAACAGGTTTGTTTTCCACAGACCTTATTTACAGCTATTTTCCAAAACCCTGTGGAGAAATCCCATTGCTTTTTTGTCGAGGAAACCATCAGCTTACTTCCTGGTTTTAGGACGCGTCACTGCACTGCTCTATATGATGCCAATATAAACAAGGTCTATTGTCGGCTCTGTACATCAATGCCGACCTATGCTGACAAGTAAGTGAAGAGTAGAGAATATAAAGGTATTGGCTATAGGGAAATGTCCCAGCGGATAATGAAGGTTCTAATCTATTACATTACATTTCTAACTCCTGATGACAGGAAGGCAGAAAGCGCATTATACAAATAATAATACTCATAATAGCAGACATTTTTTAACAATGACCACAATATCATTATTTTAATAAACCAAATATTAACAATTGAGGAAAATGAGGAAGAACTGATGATTCAAATGTTGTAGTACAAGTAGTAATGTAGTTTGTGCATACATTACTATTGCAACAAATGTGTTCATTTTCTTCATTATTAGTCGATTTTTTTTGGACGAATGCAGTGGTTACAATGGTGGGGCCAGTGATAATACAATTCTTGTACCCTGGAATTGTACCCTTAATGTCTACCCCTGAATAGAATCATTAATATCAAACAAAATACTGACATCTTTGACTGCCTATTCAATTTCTTAGCTTAAAATTCTATACGAATATTGTACAAATTCTGCCGGCCTTTTTTTTTTATAGCTGTAAGAGCCATTTAGGCACATTATTTGATGGTAATGAATTATGGTTTGGTGAGCCAATTGAATATTCTTTAATTGAACTTGAATGAGCTGAATAACTATGAATTATAATTATACTGACGTATTATTTTTCTTATGGACTGCTCTAGTTTTATGTTTTGTTATTATTCATAGCAAGCGGAATGTAGTAGCGTGCTCAGGTATAAATGACGCTGCCAGCGTGACACAGCAGGAAGTCTAGAGAGGAAGTTGGAAAAAAAATGTGACCGCACACATCCGTACGACTGTTGGATTTGTTTGTTTATATGTTTAAATACCGTGCAAAGGTTGCAAGTCGGCATTGGGCCGCCAGCTGATCCATTGAACCTCCTAATAAAGCATTTGAATGGAACGAGCAAGGTATTTGGATTTCTTGAACATACGTGAGTCAATACTCAAATTCGCCTCTTAGACTAAGTGACCTTTGAACATTCCTTTTTGCATAATTGGCCACTACAATAGCTTTTATGTCATGTGACCCACTTACTCTAAATTGATGCAGCATTGTATTTGATTGTATCTCCTTTGTTGGATTTTAGTCCACTTTCTATTTCATGACTATTTTTAAGAAGTTCTTAAGGTGTTTGCTGCACAAGCCTACCAATGATACTAAGAACAATGGGGTGCTCCAAAAACAAGAGGAAAGACCTCTGGCCAATGTTTGTGGTAGTTCAGGCAATGGAAAACTGCTTAATTTACATATAAATGATTATATCAAATAGAAGAAGCACTACAATCCATCAATAACAATTACGCACCTGTCCATCTTTCTGCATGAGTGTCCAGAGGTCCAGCACGTCTGCACCACACTGACTGGCAGCTTGGACACACGCCTGGGCATACTGACCCGCTACAGAGTTATGGCGATTGAGCGTACATCCTGAAAAAGAGATGAGCAAGCACTCTTATTCTTTGTAGGCCTGAAGCGTATACATGGCTTGTGTAAGGACAGAAGAACAAGAGAGAGGAAACATTGTGAATGAGCGTTACCTTTCACAATGCACTCCTTCTCCCACGCTGACTCATTAATGGGAGGAGGGGTGATGAAGATGACTCTGTCTGCTGACACTCCCACTGAAGCCAGAAACCTGGTGATCTCCTTCAGGTTCTCTGAATACTCCTGCAGAGGGACGTGCTGCTGTGGGTTTTTATCTTGGTAACAGGAACCAATGAAGGGGGGATACATTTATAAAAAGGCAGATTATTATTGGTGACAATGTGTCTGTTAAACATTGTTTTCAGTCAATTATCTAGAATAATCCCCCAAAAAATGTATATACAAAAAAGTATGCCGTTTATGCTATATATTGTCCTACAGTTAATGTATCAAGTGGCGGTTCACACCTGCAAAAGATTATAAAATGTTTTATATAAATAGCAAAGGTTGTGTTAAGATTTGTTGGAGTAGTAAACAAAGCACCACCTTTCAAATATTCATAAAGCAAAAGAAAATCCAACATGGGATCATGTTAGAAATGTGGGTCTTCATTACGATTACGAAAATAAATAGTATATATTGTTTACTTTGTGTATACTATGGCATACAATACATAGTATGTTGGTCAAAAACCCAAAACTAAAATTGTATACGATAAAAAAAAGTTAGAATGTCAAAAGAAAGTCATAAGGCGCATTAGGCGCATTCCCACTGCGGTACTTTTCCCACAAAGGTTCATGTGAACTTAGTTCATGTGAACTCTTAAGTACAGATCGCGTTCACACTGGAAAAAGTCCCTGGGGGTGGATTCATGGATGTATAATAAGAACTGGATACAGCGTGGGAGGCGGGGCCTCATTCATTCCTATGAGAGCTGCTCATTAGCGCATGATGATAAAATGGCCCAACTTTTGAGAGAGTGAAACGTCACAGATTACCCAGCATGCCTGAGAAGTACCCGTATGTGCACTCATAGAGCATGCGCAACTTTAACCAAAATACTCGTTCACATCAAGCACGTCAATTTGCGTACACGTAACAGCACCGCGCGTTCATGACAGCATGGTAATGGATTGTTGTTATCATGGATTTGATATGAACGAGGCGGCAGTTAGCAGCTAGCGGCTAGCTAGTAATGATGCTAATGTACACATCAATCGTTATGTACTTATATTACGCTGTAACAGGATCTAGTGATATC